AACATGGTATTATTGAAATGTTGACGTCTCAGTCAAAGTATAGCTCGTACTGCTCTAAAATCAAGAAAAAAAGCTTTAAAATAGTGTGAAAGAACAGCCTTGACTCTTAATTTTACGGCACAATTGAAAGTTTTTAGCTCCGCTCGTATTTAGCACCAAACATGGTATTTTTGAAATATTGAGATCTCAGTCAAAGTATAGTGGAACTAAAAGAAAGTAAATTTTTAAATTTTGATACCTGTAATAAATAATAAAATAATTGTGAAATTTAAATATATTACTTGAAATTCGAAAAAGCAATTTCGTTCAATATGAAATTTGATTTTTCATTCAAATAATCATAAAAATGATATCCGCGTCTCATCTCTTAATTTCCATTCAACTCTCCCCATTTTTTAAGCTTTTATTTACATACTTTTTTCTTTCTCAAAAGTTTTGTCGACGTTGTGTTTGATCCGTCTTGTGTTTTCCGGATAGTTTTTCTCGAGATTGATGCTCGTGCACCCCTTACAAGAGCCACTCAACTGTGTGTGCGCCCTTGTGCTGAGCCGACGGAGTCTAAACCCTGCGAAGAGGAGGTGCTGCAACCCGCACCACTCGGCTGCAGATGGCAGTGCATACTTTACACCCCGTCAGTGGTTCGAGCGACATCCTCGAGAGGACACGCGAAACTAGCAAAATGAATAGAAACCCTGGAATTGAAAATACCATATCATAGCTATTTGCTAGGAAAACTGTAATTGTTTTTTGATCGTAGAACTCGGTGAAAATCTGCAGAATCGCCAAAATATAGAGAGCCTGTTTGGCACACAATTGATTTTATTTATTTAAAAGATCGGATCTCTACTAGAAAAACATCAACATTTATTAATAATAAAAACAAATTGACTGTAAAAATTAATATAGAATAAGGAATAAGAACACAATAGCAAAATGAAGACCTGTTTCGGAGGCCAGAAAATAATCTATAAATTTAAATATTTTTCTACATTGAGGAACATTCAGTTACTAAAACAGCTATCAGCCTTACAAATAGTTTTGCTTTTTCTTTTTTAACTAACTTTTTTTAAGTAAAATAATAGCAGTATTAAATTAAAAGTTAAACTTTATTAATTGAGCGAACAAACCAAAGGCAATGAATAAATAAATAAACAGCAAGAAAATCCGTAATTTAAGTTAAAAAATCTTTCTTATATTGATTTTGTAAATGTTTTTTTTATTAGTTTGGTATCGTTTGGAGATCGCAGCATAATTTTTTAGCATCTAAATCAAATTGCTTAGCAAATTCATAATCAGCAGCAAATATAAATTTAAAATATCAGATCACAGATGCATAAAAGAAGGTATTTCAAATTATTTAACTACAAAAATTGATAAAAGCTATTTTTGCTATTTATAACAATAATTAAATGAATATTCTTATAAAATCTAACTTTAGATTCACAATATTTCTTACAGATTATACATTATTTGTTTGTGCAATGTATACTTAAGATTGTCGGTCTCTCTCTCTCTCTCTCTTTGCGAGCTAATTAAAAATCGATTGGCAAAGTTCGTGACTGCCGGAGCTGCCACTTTCCATGGAAACCTGTGCCCGCTAATTTCTAATTGATTAGACAAATGCTGCAGCGGTGGACGACTTTGAAGTTTCTTATCTGCGCGTCATCAATCTAGAATGAAACCAACTTAACATTGTGCCGAGGGATGAACTCGTTTAATATATTTTGAATCCTCGATTATTATTATATCGATGGAATTTTGTCTGAGAATTATATTGAATATAATTAAATAAGTTTTGGAAGTAAAAGTAGAGCAAATTTTTATTGATTGCCATATACGTTTTAAAATTGGAATACTGAAATTTGATTTACATTTTTTATGTGATAAGGATCATTTTGTTACAAACACAAAAACCTATAAATAATTCAATTTCGTGTGAAATTTGGCATTCAAATTGTAAATATTAAAACTGATGTTAAAAAACTTCTTCGTAGCCTTTTTCAAACAATAAGATTTTTTTGATGTTTGTTTTTGTGAAAAACACTCTTTATTTTTCCTCCGGCCAAGTTTTAACTTGACCTGCAAATAATAGTGAATTGAATGGTTACATTAGCCATTATTATTATTGTCGGTCGGTGCAGAAGAACAAAGAGAGCCAGGAGAGTGAGTGGCCTGCTGATGGGAAAATTCAGTTTGCGACGCAGCCTCTGAATCTACGGCGGTCCCATTTGTTTGGTCGACGAAGCGGCAAAGCAAATTGAAGGCTGCAAAAGCCTCGGGGCGAACGAACGTGTTTGTTGTTGAAAATCGACTGTTAATGGCCAAATGATAATTTGTTCACGTATAGAAAGAGAAAAGAGAGCTACGTGAGTGTGTATTTAACGAAGAGAGGCCTGGTTATCCCCGCAGGCTGGCTGAGTTATTGGTCTAGCCGAGCGAGCGGCAATTTCCATGCCTACTTTTATATTTTTGGCTCATAACACAGACAAATAACAATAAGAGTGGCCAAAAGCAACGTCGCCGCGCGCTGCACCAAAGAGTAAAAAAAAAATCGGCGCAAAAATACATACATATCGCTGCACAGCTTCGTTCTTTTGCGACTCTATTCATCTCAACTGGCGCTGGATCAAACCATCTTTTTGCCGTTCGCCTCTCTCTGCGGAAAGACTCGCCAGGCTCAAATCCCTTCTTCTACACGGTCAATTATCTTCACTTATAACTTTTTCTGATTAAACGGTTAAGTTTATAATGAAAGGGAAAAATGCCAAACTTTTGCTGAGAATTAAAAATAATAAATATACAAAAAAAAAGAAAAATAAAGTATATCCCAATAAAATAGGACCTGCGATATTTATGTCAACATTTCTGGGGATAATTCTGAAAAATATTACCAGCAAACGCTATAATATTTTAACAAAAATAAAATAAATGAGATTTAAAACTCAAAGAAACCACTCCAAACAGGAAATAATTAAATTATTAACTAACTCCACGTAAAAAGCAAATTCTTGTCAAAAGTTACAAATTTAAAAAATAAATTCCTTCCTCAAGAGTGCTATTTATATGTGAAGCAAAAATTTTTCGAGTCATCTATCATAATTTATTGTTTTTAATATTTGCTAATTTTTTTTAATAGAAATGATCAATAATAATAAAATTAATTCATTGTAGCAAAAAAATTTTTTTAAAGTTCAATAAATTTATGTTCACAGATCTCATTTTATTTATAATAATCTCTTTATTTTCTGATCTTCTCCCACTGTCCCTGTTAAATGTCAACCCTTCGCAAAGGGCAGATAAGTTTGCTTTCCCTCAACTGTGACACAGTCCAGAGGTCTCTCTCCTTTCCTTTTTTAATCCTCTAATTTTGCTGTGGTGCTCATAAATTACATTTAATTGAGAAGATAGAAGCTTCGGGTCTTGACTGTGCATTCGTGAGTTAGTGTGGCTAGTTTAAGTCAAGATAAAAATGGCAATTCGTATTTGAAAGAAAATATTATTGAATATTATACCAAAATACAAAATTTGTAAATTTTCTTAGATTGAAATATTAAAGAATTAAAAACACAAACTTTTTCCCACAAGCACTCTCTTTAGGAGTACGGCTAGAAAATTTTTGTACAAAGCTCTTTTTTGATGTGTAATATTAATTTTTTTTTTTGCAAACAAATAAGAACTAAAAGCGTTTTCTCTATCATGGCGGATCGTCCCTGGCCATTTATGATGGACAAAATTACTTTGCTGCAAATCCTTTGGCATGCTTTTAAATCTGCCGAAAGAAAAATAGTACAAAGATGAGTTGTGTATCAAAATTTGTGCGCGCCTCAAATAAGAGCGTTTTTGGCACACTTCCAGTGGCGAGAGGGTGGATTGGGGCGGTCGATAGCCACCGCCCCGCGCCGCAGGTAACACTCCATATGAAAAACTCAAAGGGCTTCCACCTGCCACTTGCACGTGGTGTTTATTTTTGCACCCGCAACCGTGAGTGGCTCATTAGTTAATCCGAAGGATAATTATTCCGGTTCCAGCCTCTCCAATGCTAACACGCCAGATGACCAAGTAAAAATATAAATAAATTTATATTTCACGTGGCCCCTTGTTGGAAAATACTTTTTCCTTTTATATTTTTCACAAAATTATTTCCATAAATTATGATTATTTAAGCATTATTTTAAAATTTTTGAGAATTGATCAAGTTTTTTTTAATAGATCAAATTACTTTGATGTCAGAAATAAAAAAGACGCTTACAAATCGTGTGTTTGAATGTAAAATTTGTTGAATCGCAAAGTAGGAAAAAGCCCGCAAGTCTCCTTCCCAGGGAAAACGAAAGAGAAAACACAAGTCATTATTAAGATTCGCACACGTCCCGGTGGAAGAATTCCGAGAGCGCCTGCAAACGGCGAGGTAGGCTTTCCGCACGTCACTCGAGCTCGGCATTATGCCTATATTGCCATCATTGTCACGTGATGCTCATAAAAACTTCACCGGCTGACGTGAGAAGAGGCTGAGATTTTTATATTCATGGCTCCTTTTTTCCGCCACGCGCATCTGTTGCTCCGAAACGGCCACAAAAACAAAATCAAAACTTTTTATGCACATTTTTTTTATATTTTCGAGCCTAATGCATGTGACATAATTCAATAATATTTTATATATTCAATTATAATTCATATTATCATACTCTTTGAACTTTTTTCCTGCCGCGGCTCAGCTCGGCGAGTTAATTTAATTTGGTAAAAACATTAAACTTTTGCTTAAATTGAACGTATGAATGGCATAGTAAGTTTTTTAATGAGCCAATTCTCTCACCATGTAATTTATTGTAAGACTTATTGCCAGAGAATAAACCAATTGAGTTTTAAAATTAAAAAAATTCATTCGTAAAACAGTGACATCTACTTATTCAAATGCAAACTGGCGGTCAGCGGCTGCCTTTATAGTTAAAGAAATAAAACGACCTTGGCCGTCGATTATCTTATCTGCGTCCGTCGGCGCGCGAGTTGACAGTGACTTTGAGGCCGGCCGCGCTGGCACCAACATGGCTCTGCTGACGGAGTGGAAGAAATTTGCCATCAGATGGATGGAACGCAACAGGGGCCTAATTGTGGTCCTCTTTTGTCTTCCGGCCAGTTTCTTGTTCGACGCGGCGCTCACGCTGCAAAAACGAGTTGTTCGCGCCCTCCGCTCCAACGACCACCACGACAAGAAAGTCCAGCGAATTCAGAAGCAGGTAAAACAGAGTCTTTAAAATATTCACCGAAATGCTAATTTTTCATGGGAAAAATTTGTTGATCTCATTTAAATCCCAGCTGATGTTTTTAATTTATTTATTCTTCATTTACAAAAAAATTAAAAAAAACTATGAATATCATTGAACACATTTACTCAATAAAATAAAACAAACTTGAATTTTTTTCACTTCCTTTAAATACAAACTAAAAAATTACAAGGTATGTCAAAAACAATATATATTTCTTATTTTGTAAGCGATTTTTTCAATAATCTGATTTTGACTTTCTGAAATCACAACTTTTCTCTCCTGATTTTCTAAATTATTGAAAACTTCCCAATATAATGGGTGAAAATTCAAATAGTTCTTTAAATCAACTTTTTAAAATTGCTCTGCAAGTTCAAGGATCCAATATTCTGATAAAAACCTTTTTCTCAGACCTGAAATGATAATAAAACGTGCTATATTTGAACCGTTGTTTATGCAGTGGCATGAATAGCGCTCCTTTATATAATTGGATGCCTTTATTTCCACCGTTGGCAATTAATCTTATCACCATTTTTTCCGCACACCTGCTGAAATAATCAGCTTACGGCGCGCACGTGCTCCCGCCGGCCAATCGATAAAATCAGATGTTCGCAAATACACACGTTTAATTATCTCTCACGCAGGTCGCTGATTGGAACAAGTTGCCAAAGGAGAACCGAAAATTGATGTGCACGGCCAGGCCGAATTGGCTCAGTTTGTCAACAACGTTCTTTCGAAAAGTGCGAGTTTTGCAATTAAATTTATTTTCATTAAAAAAAAGTATAATTAATCAATTGAAGGACCAATGCCACAAAGTACCCGTTCCACTTTACGACATTTTGAGCGTCAACGAGAGGGAAATGACAGTGAAAGTGGAGCCGATGGTGACTGTAGCTGAAATCACAGAATATCTCATTCCAAAAGGTATTTCTTTTAATTTCTCACAATTATAAATACGAAAAATTGCTTACAGAGAAAGATTGCGCTGGATTGAGCCATGTTTATATCTATTAATTTTGAAATGTAGTTTGTTAATTTTTTTTTATTAAATTAATGCTTGAGTAACGCTTTTAAATAATTTAAATAATTTCTAGGGTACACCCTTGCTGTGACATTAGAGATCGGTGACGCCACATTGGGTGGTTTGGCGATGGGTGTTGGAATGACCACTCATTCTCATAAGGTAAAAAAACGAAACTTAAAATTTTGAACCAATAAAAATAATCATATCAGGCAGGCCTTTATCAAGAAGGAGTGACCGCGTACGAAGTTGTCCTCGGCGACGGTTCTTTGGTCAGGGCCACGGCCAAGGACAACGAGGACCTCTTCAGAGCTCTGCCCTGGTCTCACGGATCTCTCGGTTTTCTCGTCGCTCTCGAAGTCAAATTGGTCAAAGTCAAGGTTGATCATTTTTGAAATAAAGCGATTTAATTGAGAATTAATTCAACGACAGCCATACGTGCGTCTGAATTATTTGCCCGTGCGTGGGATGAAGGACTATTGCGACATGATAAGAATGGTCTCAGGTGCTTTGGACAAGGACCAGGTGGCGCCGGATTACGTTGAGGCGACCGTCTTCAGCAAAGACGAGGCTGTGATCATGACTGGAGAGTACACGGACTGCACCACTTACGACGACCAAAGAAAGGTCCGTAATAATCAACATTTTTTTTCCACTACAAAATGTCAAATAATTCAATAAGAATACAATAATTTAGCTTATTTTAAATTGATTCTATAGTAACGTTAATATTGCAGTTTATTTATTAATATTATTAACAAAATACCAATGAGAGTTAAGCAATTTTTTTTTTATTTGATGTTAATTCCTCACAATTTCCCCCCTTGTAAGCGATATTTATTTTAACTTATTTGAAATGAATACTCTGAAGTTTTAAATTAATTAATAATTATATTTAAAACTTATATTTTAAATTTATTTTACATAAGTGCTTATTTAAAAAATAATTTAATAATTTTTTTCATTTTTTTATATAACTGATTTATTGAGCAATTACAGAAAATATAATATTATTTATAAAAAACTGTTAAAATAAAAATAATTAATGAAACAAAAAACAAGACTGAATTATTACAGTTTAATTTGCTTAATTTTGTTTCCCGTTATGATACAAGAAAATTTAAAGTTCCATAAAATGAATGAAAAACTAAATAATAACAAAATAAATGTGCATATTTCCACAACCAATGCGCACACAAGCAATTCCCACGCAGTTCACATCTCAGTCCCCAAAGACGAGCGGATTACAAAAAGCGCCGCAGGTCCAAAATTCACTTTGGCCGCCCGAGTGCGCGACACTAATCCGAAAGGTTTTCGTCGCCCAAGGATCCATAAATTTCCCTCTCGCCCCTCATTCGAGCAAGAGGTGTGAATTGCGCGGGGGGTGTTTTATGTGCGTCCGGGGGTAAAACAGGTGAATCACATAACCCGGTGGTACAAGCCGTGGTTCTACAAGCACGTCGAGTCCTTCCTCAAGACGGGCAAGGGCCACGAGATAATTCCTCTGAGGGAGTATTTGCTGCGCCACAACAGGGCCATTTTTTGGGTCGTCGAGGCCATGATTCCGTTTGGCAACAACCCAATTTTCAGGTGCGCGAAATTGCCGTGTGTGAGTGTGACTCTGAAGTGACAAACGCATTTCGCAGATTCCTCTTCGGCTGGCTGCTGCCGCCGAAACCCGCCTTCCTCAAGTTCACCACCACCCCTGGCATTCGCGCCATGACCTTTACCAAACAGGTGCGTACATTTGGCTCGCTTTCAACCAAAATCAATTCCAATAGGCAGAGGCAGCTTTTTTCCAATTAGAATTTTAATCAACGGTCGCGCGTCCCCTCCATTAACTTATCAAAGCACGCGAACACGCGACGCAAACAAGACAACAAAAGACTTCACGCAGAGAGCAAACATTGCTTTTCCCAGAAACCACTTATTTGCGGCGGAATTACTACTTTGGACGTTAATCGAGTTTTTATTTTTCTCGGAATACAAAAGTTGAAACAGAATTTTTTTGTTAAAGACACTATTGAATTTTTTATTGCTCTACAAATCCACGAGTTGAACAAATTTCATTTTTAAGCATTGCATATTTCTTTCATAAGATTTTTAACCTAGATTCGTCCAAATAGCATGAGTGCGAATTTATTTTGTCATTTCAGTTTCAACGTCTGTCTTCATATCTCTTTTCAGATTTTAAAATAAAAAATTAATTCTTTATAATTTGATCAAAGAAGTTTGCAATTAAAATGTGACATTAAAAAAGTACGGGAAATTTTACATTTATTAACAAACAAACTGCTCGTAACGTTCTATGCGACAATCTATTTCATGTGGGAGAGAGAAACCCCAAATAAATCAGCAAAATATAAAAAATTAATTAAATAAATAATAAAGTAGTTTAATTGTATTTAAGATTATTAACTTTATTAAATACCTGATAAATAAAATATTTGTTTTAAAGGTTATTACAATTTTTTTTGTTAGTTTTTGTGTTTGTTGCTCATCCGTGACTAAAATTGATTGTTTTATCATAAGAAAATCTACTTTTTCCTTCTTCTGAATATCAAGGTATTCCAAGACATTGTCCTGCCCATGACGGAATTGGAGAGGCAGATCGAAATGAACGAAAAGTTGTTCGACGCCTACCCCATCCTGATCTACCCGTGCCGCATTTACGATCACGGGCCCCACAACGGGCAACTGAGACCCCCGAGGCCGGACCAGATGGTGCCCGGGGCCAAATGGGGCATGTTCAACGACCTTGGCGTGTACGGCGTGCCAGGACCTGTGAAGAGGAAGGAACCGTTTGACGCCGTCAAGGCGATGAGGGCGATGGAAAAGTAAAATTTTTTTATATGGCGCCGAATTGGAATTGCTTTTAAAAAATAAACCGAAAATATAGGTTTACGAGAGATGTGGGCGGGTATTCGTTTTTGTACGCCGACACTTTCATGGACTGGAAAGAGTTCAACCAAATGTTTGATTTGACTCTTTACGAAAAGGTTCGCAAAAAGTATTTCGCCGATGGAGCATTTCCTCATCTTTATGACAAGGTACTATTTTTTTTTGCTACATTTTATTCCGGAAAACTTACAAAGATATCGAATTAATAACTTAATTTATTTGTTGAATTCTTCTTGAATGAGAATTGTGTGTTCTTTTTGCAGATTAAACCGGAAATTGACGTTTTCAAAGTGGGCAAGGAATATATAAATCCGCTGTAAATTGACTCTGTCCGAGGCAAATAAATTTTTCGCCTGCGTGCAAAAAAGAACCCGTGTATGCTTCGTAATTTGGTTTGGCGCACCCACGCCAAGGCAAACAAAAAATATTTGCTTTTCGGAGCGCTTCGGGCGTGGAAATGCCTGTTCCAGAGCTGACTGGAGGATTAATTAAAATTTCCGACCGCAGCGGCCGCCGCACACGACATGGGGAAGGAAGTGAGATTGGTGAGGCTGGCTAATCTATTTCCATCCGCACGAATATTGATTAGGCACACCAGTCAAAGGCTAAATCAATTCGCGGTGCACTCGTCGTTAAAAGTTGCAACTGCCAGAGCAAAGGGGCAACATTTAGGAGAAGAGAAACAAATGCGTGGCCAAACTTTTGACGTGGGCAAAAGTTACAGGGTGTTCAGCCTCGAAAGCTGCAGTTGAGTTCATAGCATTTAAAACGAGAGGTTCTTTCCCATGAGACCTCTTTAAATTAAATTTTTAATTAACTCTTTACATATCATACACAAAATTAATAACCTTTTTCCTTTAAAAAAAAACCTTGGGATTAAAATTAATTACTGCACTTAAGTTAATGAACTCGATTTTCATTTTTTCTTTTAAATTTACAATTTCATTTAATACTTATCCATAGTTTTTATTGAATAATTTGTAGGAAATGTAGTGATTTGTCCGTATTCAGTAAAATTAAAGAGTGAAGAAAAAACTAGAAAAGATTTATCTCCACCAGAGGAGTTCCTTCAGAACAAATTTCGTCCCTTCAAATAATTCAAATTCTTACCTCTAAATTTCAGGAATTATACTTTTGGAATTAAAAAACCCCACAATGAGAAAGGATTTTTCATTCATTATTTGCAGGGTTTCTGGGCATGAGCATGTTCATCTGCTCAACTTTGTCTGCTCATGAGCATGCTCACTTGCATGTGCTCAATGCTCATGCTCAATATACCCTTGCTCAACGCTGCTCAAGAGCAAAATTTGCTTAAACCTTGCTCATGCTCAGGTTCCCTGTAAAATAGGTTTTTTTGAAGTTCACAGTTCAATATTAGAATTCAAATTAGTTTTGATTAAAGGAGGAAGTCTTGAAATAGGGTGGTAATTATTTTTGAAATACGAGAATAACGATTGATATTTTAATATTTTTTTAAATAATATCATTTTTAATTAATTTAATTTGAACTCTTAAGCGATCGCAGGCTTGATAATATTATTAAGTGCATGGGTCGACAGAAATTATAGGTGAATTAAAGGTGATGCGTTTATTTTTCATGCTCATTGTCTGTAATCTCAGGGACTCAAACCTTGCTCATGAGCAGCTCATGCTCAGGTTCCCTGATTATTTGTTGTTAAAAAAAAATTTGATCCAATTTTTTTCTTTTGCCAATCTTCAATTTTCAATGTTATAAAAAGGGAAAATATGAAAATTGAAATACAAAAAACTTTTTGAGATTAATTATTATTTTTAAATCATTCATTTAGGTCACTCAGTTTTTATGTAAAATTGATAATACTTGTGACATATTTTTAAAAAAACTAGCCCTAAGTACATCAATTTATGACATTATAGTGTAAATTATTATAAACTTGTCTTTTCTTTTCCCAACATTGTTCAATAACCAGTTTAAGCTATTTGCTACAATCGGTGTAATTGATTGAATCAGAAAACTGACAGAAAATTTATAGAAACCTCAACTGGCCGCATCAATCACCACACATGTGACCAACAATTCCACGGTCAAAAATTCATCAATCACAAATCGCCGGGCCAAAACCGGACAGCCGGAAAACTAGAGAGTGAAGCAGGAAACCATTATTTTCCTTTGGAATTAAATGTAGCCATTCAGAGGGAAAAATGCAGTGTTGCGGGGCGGCTTTTCAAGTTAAATATCAACGCACGCGTAAAACCGGGCTTAAAAGAGTGACAGAAGCAGCGGCAGCGCCGCCGAGACTTATTCACTCTCTTTATCTGGGATAGTTTTGAATGCGGAAAAGTACGGCTCTTCTTTTTTTCCATTTTACAAGCGAGCGTGTTTTATTTTTTACACAAAAATGCGTGCGCGACACTCTTTCGGTGCAGAAAATGTTTTATTCATATTCGGGGGGAAAAAGTAAAAAAAAAAACTACCTCTTTTGCGGCTGCAAAAAGATTTATCCGCTCAGCGCCATTTTCTTTTCCACTGCATTAAAAGTCTTTGATGTTCTTTCCGACATTGTCTAATTTTATCAAGGTTTGTGTTTTTTGCGTGTGATGAAGACGCGCGGTGGCAAAAGTGGAAAAATGTGCCCTGGCGCACGCACGCGATAAAAAGTGGCGCTTTACAATGCCCGAGGGACGGCGAGCGACGTTTTTACAAGTGACCCTGCCTGCAAAAATGAGGCCTCTACAAAATATACACACTTGGCTCTTGTTCCCTGAAAATCTCTTTCCAAACAAATGCCAAAACAAGAGCCCTTGACGTGGCGTGCGCAAATATTATTACTTCTTGCCTTTGTCACGCGAAAAGCACTTTGCAACTTTTCAAATTACTCATAAACAAACCGACTCTGTCGCGCTTTTTTAGTAAAAAAAGTTTTGCCCGCCTTTCGAGTAAAGCCGAGTTTTTCAGAAAATATTTTATTCCTTTCGTCATAAGATTACGTTTTGTAAGTGGTATTTTAATCAAAAAAGTAATTGTAAACTTTAAAATTAAAAAACTTTAATTGATTTATTTTTTAAAAGTATTAACCGGTATTAACATGTTTTTACAATTTACAAATTAGTGTTTAATTTATTAAATTAAAAATATTTAGAAATTATATAAGAATTCAACACGCAGGCTTTATAAATTTTAATGTATTTTATTTTGTATAACATATGAATAAATTTTGTGTGAATCAAAGCTTAGGATCAAAAGGATTAATTCTTAAAAGAAAATTAAAATTTAGGAAAACTTTTCCACATTAATGTTAAATTGTATTCAAATAATTAAAATTTTAAAAATTAAAAACAATTTTATAACTAACCTTCATTGGAAATTTGACTTACACTTTGAGGGCAAAGTTTGATTACTATATAAAAAAGCTCAAAATTTTACTCCTATCTAGTTATAGAGCTTTTTATTCAAACTGTATCGCAAATTGATATGGAATGTCGCAACAAACATCCTGAATATTCAAATCGGGCCCTGCATGTTTCTTTTTTTATTTTGTATAAAACACGGAGCAGAGACGAGAGAGATGCCTGTGACAGAACTAACGAGCAACACGACACCCCACGCGGATAATCGACCTCATTCGCATCACAAGCCGGGGCAAATTTTTCCGACCGACAAGGGAAACTTCTGACATAAATGACTGAATAGTTAAATTTGTTTTAATTTTTATTTCAATATACAAAAGTAATGTGTTCTGTAAATGTTTCTTGCGAAATTCTACAAATCTGATTCAAAATATTACAAAAAATTATTTTTCAGGAAATCAGATCAGAATACAATTGAATTCTGTTGAGTTTGGTTTTTATGTTAAAAAGAATAACTAAGTTGAGTATTCTTGCCGTTTGCTGCGACGTTTCGATAGTTTGAAAACGTTGGCATTTAATAAAAAAACGCACATATTAACCTGAAAAATGTCGTTAAATTTTGCGTTTTAAATTACAATGGTTTTATGCTGATATCAAATGAGCTTTGACCGAGAAGTAAAACAATGTAAAAGTCACATGTTCTCCATAATTTGTAGATTGTGATTAACGCATTGAAAAAGATTAGTATTTTTTCAACAAATGTATTTTATCATCTTATATCATAATTTATACTAATTAAACGTGGAAAAATTATAAAAATAATAGTTAATATTTAGATTTAATTGCAAAATGATAAGTATAATACTTTATAAATATAAAAGTTTAATTTTTGTTGTTACTGAAATAAAAAATTTTACGTTAGAACTTTCCATAATTTCAAGTAGGAAAATCCTAATAATTTCATAATTCTGAAAATGAGAATCCTGATTCTTAATACCATTTTTTTATGACAGTTGTTAATAATTTGTTTTTAATAAAGTAAACATTTACCAGCTATAACTTTAATTTTATTAATGATAAATTGCTCGAAATCGGCTGTAGTGGGTCCCTTCCAACTTGCAACTAAGATAATTATAAGTCATCTTTTGAATGAGAAGATAATGGTCATTTTCACCAGTCCTCAGTATGACCTATTTAAAAACAACAATGCATCCCGTTTGCTGGAGCAACATTTCGGTGGAAAGAATTTGATCAGAAATAACAAGTGTGAACAAGTTTTAAAAGTCGATTTATTCTCTAATTTTTAGCTTCTATAAAAGCAAATTGAAAGAGGTGTTGGTGCGGGCGGCGAGTGAACGAAGAAGAGACTCGCCCGGTCGGTGCGGCGCGAGTTTGAACTGGTTGGAGGCGTGGCCGAGCGTGGCCCGCGAGCCTCGGCGCCGCGATCAATGCAGGAATCGAGCGCATGGTGCTGCCTCGGCGCCCTCGTCATTCGCCTCCAAGTGACTCGGCCGGCCGCACGCACCGACCTGCTGCCCCTGCCAACATAATACGCGCGTCCACCTGCGGCCGCCACGACTTCGGCCTCATGGCCGCTCCCCCGCACCGGTGAGTACCTCCGAGATCAGACGCAAACGTCGCCCCCGTGATTGTCACGCATTCCCCGCGTTGCCAAATTAGCTTTGGCCTTTTTTCAGAATACAAAGCTCAAGTTTTACTGCTAATTTCGTTTACGAGCACAACCTGATATTGCCAAGTTCAATATTTGTGATAACCATGACTCGTAAACTTATTTTGATGAAATCTTATTTTGCTTTAAAAGTCCAACTAAAACTTTAACCTGAAATTAAAACAAGAATATTATAATATATTTTGCTTGCGAGTTAAATTGACAATTTTTTTTTGTAACACCTTTGAAATTGAAAACCTAAATGTGGATCATTAAGTATATTTTCCTATTAACTTTTTTTTCAACTTTAAAAATGAGTTGTTTAATATATATGATTATGAAATTTTAAATTTTGTTCCTCCTCGAATTGTAATCATTATTCGGGACTCAAGATTTGAGCAATTTGTAGAAAAAAAGGAGACTATAATAAATCACATCATAGTATGCATAAAGTTCATTTTAATTATTCAAATAAATATATTTATTTTTTCCATACCGTTCTATCATTTCCGCAAGCAAATTTCTTGTAGTCAAATTTGCAAATCATAATTATTTTAAATAATGTTTGATTTGCTGATTTTAATTTCCAAGTCCCCCTAACAACTTAACAATTTCTTTTTCTAAAAACAACATGAATTGAGTTACACATTTCATGATCTAGAAAATATTTTCTTGTCTTTTAAGGGCACAATTATACAAATCAATGGAAGTTTACTTAAAATGACAGTGTAAAGTATTATTTTGTTTAAATTATTTTCTTTTTCTTCAAATTCTTAACATAGATTTGTGCAATTTTTAATTAGAACCAAACTTTAAACACTGATTTGTGTGCTTTAGCACTTTGGGTGTAACTTTAGCACTGAGAGGCACGAGATAATATTTTAATCCCGAGCGACACCGCAAAGGATTTACTTCAATTTCGACGCTTCTCGTACTGGTGATTTCGTTTGTCGAGGACAAGCAACGAGGGCGCAAAATGCAATTTTCCCCGCGCGCAATGAAATTCATTAAACGCCTTCGGTGGCGTGTACACACAATTAAAATTTTACAACTTAATGCGAGAGCCCGGCACAATTAAGTATTAAAGTTTATTACGAAGCAGCGCAATTATTTACGCCGACGACCGTTTTATTCGGCGCGAGTTGCATGCGAAATAAAGCGAGATACGACTGCATTTTGAAATTCTGTTGGCAAAACACTCTCTTTTCACTTTTCGATTCTGCCAGGAAATTTTAACCTGGTTTACGTCAAAAGCGAGAGCAACGTTTGCGGTGCAAGTTTTAATTGGATTATTAAATTAGCCGGCGCGTTTAATTAGTTTGTGCCGGTGCAGTCATTGTTTCGTTTTTACGTTCACGACGATGAAGAGTTTTTGAAAAGTGACTTGAGTGGCGAGATAAGCGGGAATCACTTAAAAGGGTAACTTCTTGAGCAGAGACATTATAAAAGTGGCATAATTTAAACTCTCAGAGAGTGCAGATAAAATGCCCTTGAAATGGATTAGGATTTAAAGGAAGTTCAGAAAATTACTGCAAATATGTGGAGATACTTCACAAAGATTTTCAATATTTTTTGAACCTAAATTTACCAAAAAATTAAAACATAATTCAATGATGGGAATGTTTAACTTAATTACTTAATAAATTTAATATTAATGGCAAAAGAATTTAAAATAATATTTCCACTATTTATTTTTTAATAAATATTTACAATTTTTGCGTTCAATATTTGTCTATTTAATTAATATTTGAAGCTTTTAATTAATCATGCACCTTATAATATATTACGCCTCAAATTTTGAGTTCCTCTATGAACAAGTTGAGTTTTATGGATGAAAAATTGAGATTATTGTAGAAAATTGAGTCGGTCGGCGGCGCATCCTTGGACCGCGTCCATAACGGGGCTAGATTTTGGTCCGAGTCTGCCATATAACCACATTACGAGCCGAGACGAGAGCCGAGCTGCCCTTTCAAATAAATATTAATTTCGTCCGCGCGCCGCCGCTTTATAGCGGCCGTGATAAATGGCTGGCAAAACTCTGGACATAAAAGCGCCGAAGAAGAGAATAATAGAAAAGCGTGATAATAATAAAGTTTGTTTTGACCCAATTTACAACTCGGCGAGATTTTTTATGGCCCGGCCAGATTTTTAACTCATTAACGTGGCCATAAAATGATTCGACATTAACAATATTCACATTTATATCTCCTCGCATCGACGGACGCGCCGCGGTTTTATTGCCGTAATAGGCCGAATGCACTTCACGTCATGAGCGCAGGAAAAACGCCGACGAGCGCCACTCTGGCTGCATCTTTTACCATACAGCAAAATGCTGCATCTTTTTCTTTCCATCAAAGTTGTTTTGCGACCAATAAAGTTTTGCATAAATAATGTTATTGCTCCAGAAGGAAAAGAGAGCCAATTCATTTGAAAGTTTTTATTGAAAGGCATAAATTTAAAGAGAAGATTCGACACACAAGTCACTTTTTGCGCGCAGTTTGCGACCGGGAATCGAACCTACCAATCAGTCCGACAATCGCGTTCGATCATTGAATCGCCGGCACTAAATTCCGCGCAAATGCGACTCTCGCCAACTTTGGAATAGCGTTGACATCGGAAATGGCCGCAGAGGATATTGGAATAAAGTGGGGCGATCATTAAGACCTTGTTTGCTGGCTTAACTTGGAACGGCGTGCAAATTAAGATGTTTAATAGGGGAGGATTTGGACATTGTTTTGTTTTTAACGTCAATTACAAAATAATATGTGAGAAATTTCAAAATATATTAAAAACTAAATTCTCTAATGATAAGAAGACTGCTAAATTTGTTTAATTTTGCTCAGAACTTTTATAAGCTCATCACTGCCCTCTTACAATTAGTGCAGCCACAGCACTAATTAGTGCACAAACTAAAATTATATAACTTAAGATAATGAAAAAATATTAAATACTTTTTAAAACAAGATATAAAAATAAATAAATTAAAATCCAACTATAAAATGAAACGTATAAATAATTTCATAAAAAATTGTAATTTAAAATAATATATTATAAATTACTTATCAGTTTCGTTTACAATATGATGAAAAAGTTTATATGGATTGTACATTTTTTTACCAAAACTATATTGTTTTCAAAAATTTCAACTTATATTTAATGACATCATAAAACTTACATTGGAATTTGTTCTTATAATTTTATAAGATTTGTTCTTGCAGATTGAATTACTCATGGAAATGATAAAAAAAGTGCATAGATTGATAATGTTCATGAATTTGTATTATATTTGAAATAATTTAAAATGAAATGTTAATCCATGGCATAAACTTGAGTAAAGTAATTGCAGCTTTTGGAGTTGATTAAACTCCTTTTGAAACCCCATAGTTTGAATTACAATTTTCGTAAATAATTAGTTTTGACCTCACCGAGTCTGTTTTCTTTTTTCGTACGCATCCTGCTCTGCAACCCGTACACCTAATGAGCTGAATAATTAAAACATCTCCGCCGCACCACGCGCAACCTCCCCTCTCCTCTTTCACCCCTTTTTTAATGACCGGGCATCGGCGCCGGAAAAAAGCATTCTCGATCTCTTATTTTTTCCGTCTTTCTCCATCGTCCGGATTTTATTGCCACCACTTAGCGAATCACTCAAACGTAATGAACACTTACGCGCCGAAAGAGAGAGAAAGAGCGAGGATTTTCGCAAGCAGCGCAATAAATCAATAAAAGCAGAGGCGGTGCGCGCCGCGGTCACAGCACAACAGAGCAAAGGACAACCCTGCGTGTTTGTTACTTTGTATCCGACAAATTATTCTCGCCGAGGGTTTGCCTAATCGGGTGGGTCCGAATATCTCTCTGTGATTCTCAATTGCGTTCCAATTTCATTCAAAGTTTCTCATAGGAAATGTAACAAATACGATCAGTTTTAGTAATTTTGACTGTTTAAATTTGTGTGTTTCTATATTTAAAATCAAGTAAATAAGATGAAATTTTAAAGAATTTTTTTAAATGAAATTTAATGAAACGAATATATTATTATCAATGTACTTTCAAAAAGTTGTTGAATTTAAAATTTAGAATATTGTTGACTTTGGTCTGGTGGATTCCACCACAATATTCGGACCCACCCTGCTGGTAAACTCGGAGACACGCCGCATTACATGTTCTCGTCCGCCATCAAAAGGGGCAATTTCGTGTCCAAATCATTCCTCATTAGACTGACAACGGGTTGACAGAGTAAAAAATGTGCGGGTGCCGTCATATCAGCCGGCGAATTTGTACCTGCGCGCGCGCGTGTGTGTGTTTAAAAGAGGTTTTCCCTCTCGCAGGTGTCGTAAAACGAGAGCGGCCCGTTGAGATTAAAAGCCCGTTTTAAAACCATCAAAGCTGCGCCAAATTAAACCATTAATTATTCACCGAGTCGGCCGAAATCAAACGTGACGTATGCCGCCGCGTGTAATTTATTAGAGGCGCGAGTTGTGTAGGAAAAACGCCAAATCTGATTATGTCACGCGGACAAATTATGTGCGCGCGGAAAGACGCATCCTCTGAAATTGATTCCGAGCCGAGTCATCTGATACACGTGCAGAAAGTTTCGAGAGAAATGTATGTTTTTGACGGGCCTGGGAGTTGAAACTGAATTTGCGCACGCTTGAGAAAGTTTGAAACGGAAAAGCAACCATATAGTTTGTGCTTTGAATTTAATCTGATTATTATGGAAAGGAGCGCTTTAAATTAATTAATTAGCATTTGAAATTAGATTTAAGATGTATGGCAAAGTTCACTTTTAAAGCAACACGTCATGAGCGTGCTGAAAGTTATGCATTCCGCGCGACATTCTTGACAAGATTTTGCCTCACTTGCTTTTGCGGAGAGAAGTTTACGAACATATTTCCGGGCGAGAGGGAATGTGTTTGGGGTTGTAATAATATCTTCTGCC